AGCTCATGTTTTCTGTGGGGTGAAAACAGAAATTCCCCCTGGTTTTCAATCCCAGTTCCCCCCAGTCAGGTGTTCCAGCTGAAAAGCAGCTTGAATGATCCACTGACGGGAAAGAACTTCCCAGGATATTGGAGATGAAAGCACAGGCTGAAATTGGAACTTTGCCTTCTTCCCAAACCTATTAGAAACTGCATTTTTTTTAATCCTATTTATTTTCTTAGCATTTATTTTGGGGGCTTCCTATAGTCGATGTCAGAAATTAGCAGGTGTTACCTCAAGGTCAAGACCTCACATTTTGATGGTTTCCTTCTGTCCTGTCACACCTAAACTTATCTGGCAACAGCTCATTTTATTCAGGCATTTGTGATAAAATTCTGCAGTTATTCTATGCCCTAACCTTGAAATTTCATTTATTATCTCCCGACAGCCACGGCTTTATTTTTAAAATTCTCATTTGAAACCGAAGGCAAACTGCTTTTTAAAATACAAACACTGCTGAGATTCATCAAAAAGTAATGAATAATTTAAATTAAAAGAAAACCTGGAGTGATTGCTCGTTCTCTGATAACAAAATGGGAAATAAATGACTGTCAACATTTGGAACATCATGTTTTAAAGAGCAAACACAGGTCGTAACTGGTCTCCCATATTCTCAGGCAGTGCTTCATGATGGGATTGTCATTAACACTCTGGAATTAAGGATGTTTGAGCTTTGGTGCTCAACCTCACCCTTAAGAATGAGAAAATAAAAAAAGTGGATATTTATGATGCCAAACCCCTGGGATGCAGATTCCAGCAAGTGCTTGGGTTTCAGTCTCAAATTAATGCCTTTGATTTTGACAGGAGTTCTCGAGGAAGCAAACACAGCTGTAGGAAAGGCCAGGGACAGACAGAAAACCAATATTTCATTTTATTTCCCTGAGAAACCTGTGAAATGGGATTTAGAATGCTGCCAAAAGGGAAGGGGGGACGTGTGTGCTGCTTTACCCACACGAGAGGCACTGCTCATCAGCCCCTGGGCTGCAAAATGAACCTCCTCAGGTGCCAACAGAATATATTTTTCTTTTTTCAAAAAGCCCTGCCTATCTTTTGGAAGGATCAGAGTGAAAATAGCTGCCTGATTTTCCTGTGTTGCCCAGACATGGAACAATTTTACACCAAGTTGTGTTTTTTTTTTACACAGCCACAAAAAATATTTGAGTTATTCAGTCTTGGAGGAAGTTCCAGTTAAAGTCAGAGTGTCCTGGGAGATGCTTCCTCCATCCACAGAAAGATTTCATAACAGCTGCACTGTAGCTTGTTCAGAAGAGATCCAGAGAGCACAGAAAGTACAGGGAAGGTACAAAGTTAGAGAAACCCCTGGAATCTGAGATATTCCTACAGGTGAGCACTGTTGTTTTTTATTCCATGCACGATGGAAATAATCAACAGCAGCACATCACAGGTCTCTGCTTTGTTCAGAGCTCATCTCAGGACAGTTATGCAATATTTTGTTTTAACCCTTCTTGCTTGGCCCTCTAAATTCACTGCATAAGGCTTGATCATCACAAAAATAAATAACTCAGCCTTGCCAAGAGACTTATTTCTGCACTGGCCATGTGCTTCAGACACCTCATTTATTTTAGTGTATGGCATGACCCCATCTTACTTACAGAAAGACATTTATAATGAAACTAAAACAAGGGGCTGTCACTCTTCTGGGGATTTTCAATTTGAAGTTGGTTTGTTAGAGTGGGTTTTTTTTTCAGTTGTTCAAGAAGTGACTTTAATTCACTTTATCTGCAGCAGTGAGTGCTCAGCAACTTTGTCCTTAGCTTTGGACACTCATTAGGGGATAGCCAAGTCAAGGAACATGTGAGAAAAGGTTGCTTGAAGTGATTTATGGACATAACATCCCATAGAAACTTTATGGCAGGGACATGAAAAGAACCTAATTCTCCAGAGCAGGGTTCTGTTGTCTGCACTACAGCACATCCCTCTTCTTTCTTCCTTATCCTGCTTTCATTGCATGAGCTACAAAGGAGGCAAGGCATCCTCCAGACAGCAGCATCCTGTGTTTGGCCAGCTCAATTCATCTCCCTGGGCTGAGAAAACACTCATGGGAATGGGGATTGTGTCCCAGACCTGCCACAAGAAGGCCAAATTGAGGTTACCCAGACAGACTTAAAGCGGGGGCGTTGCCAGGCTTGAGAGCTGGGTGTTGCAAAGCAGCACTTTCCATTTTTAATAGAAAATGCTCTTTTTACTGTTTTACAAGGTTCTGTCCTTTGAAAAATGTGATTTTTTAAATATTAGGGTTAGTTATCGATGGTTTGTGCTTTAATTTTAATCTTGTTTCGGCACAGCAACGTTTTCTATGAGATGAAAAAGGAGAAAAAAGTCTGGTTCCATCCTTTAAGGTAGGAGTTGACAGAAGCTATAAAACAGTTCCAATCCCAAGTTTGTGAGTGCTAAATTGAATTAATTATCACTCACCTAAGGGTTTTCAAGGCCCAAAGTTCATAAAGCACCAACAGGGTGCTCTCTGGTGCAGGTCCTGTCCTCTGGACTTCACTCATGGCAGAAAAGTGTTGAGATGTGTCACCCTTCAGACAAATGTCCTCTTTTGTCCCAGCTGTTGCCCCAGGTGTCCCTGCTCTTCAGAATGTCATTGTTCTTCATGGAAAGGGCAACAGCTTCTGCTTAAAACCAGACTCAGCACTCTCAGAAATAATCCCAGAGTGGTTTTGTGGCCGTGAGCTGGGTGGGTGACACCTGGATTTGGGACTGGTGTCTACAGGAGCCCACCTGTGCCCTTTACAAGCTGGAATGGGAACAACTTCCCCTGAGTGCCCTTTGTGAGTGACCAAATTGAGGTGACACCCCCTAATGAACAATTTGAGACTTCTCCAAATTCTCCAGACACGAACTGAGTGCTGCAGTCTGAGACTAAATGGCAGATGGACCCAGCTTGTTGGGGTGAGGAGATGGAAAATAAGCTGAAATGTCACCTTCAAGGCTTTAAAGTGCTGGCATGGCTGGCAGGATACACCAGGGTTAGTCCAGCTCTGGCATTTTTTCAGCCACAGAAAATCTGGGGTTTCTAATTTGTGTTCTTGTTTGCCACTTTGCTGATTGCTTTTTGCCATTTTAGAAACCTGGACAAATTAAATGTCACTTGTCCTCTGATTATACAACCCAAAAGAAGCTATACAGATTGTATTATTCCATTCAGCAAATAAAATTGCTTCTCCATTCCTATTTAAACATCAGCCCTAAGTTCTGAGGGAATTTCTAGACTGATGTCACAGAGTGCAACAAAAGCACTCTTCAGTCTGGTTCCAGTTTTAGAGAATCTGTCAATGTTTCCTTGCAGAAGTGTTCTCATAGAGTGCTTGCCACATTTTAGTCTGAATCCTTGTGGGATGTCACAGCCTTTGTTTCCTTTGAAGGAAAGAGCATCACTTGTGGCCGGAGTTTGCTTTTCTGTCTGGGCGCAGGAGCTCCGGAGGGATGTGCTCTCTGCTCTCTGCTCCAGCAGCTCTGGAGCTGCTCCCTTCCAGCACAGCTCCCACTTCCAGCAGGACTGGCGTTCCAGGGATGATCAGAGCTGTGGCCAGCAGGAAGGGCAGCTGCTCCTCTGGGTTCCCTGCAGCTCTGGGAGGCTGGGAAGGGAAGGATCTGTGCGCTGATCCGGTTTCCCAGCTTTTGTCGGGGCCCCAGCAGACGGGGTGTTCTCAGCTGAGCCACGCTCCTCACAGCTTTTTGGGAGCTTCCAGTCTTGTTAAAGAGCCTGTCTGTCAAAAACCTCTCTGTGTGCAGCCTTTCCTCAGCAGTGCTGAAGCTCTGGGATGTAACCAGCTGTGTCTTATTCGGGGTGACAGCAACGAAACCCTCTAAGGCTCTGATGTAAATCAAATGTGATCCTAATGTTATTTCTAAACAGAAACACTCAACAGCTCCAGAGAGCAAGGTCTCACTTGATCAGATGTAAAACAAACACATCCCCCTCGCGTGTTTAGGAGGATTTGATGGTTGTTATTAGTCCTGAGATTGTTCTCTTCCCTGGCTCCAGCTCCAGCAGGGAATGGCTGCACAGTCACTGCCTCTGATTATCACTCAGGGCTTGGTGTTTTGGTCGCTCTGCTTTAACAAAGAACTTCAAGAGATCATTTATCCCAGGAAAACAGGAACAGGATTTTACTGGATTGCAGCTGTATGTGGGTACTCCACATCATCCTCAGGTTAAAACCAGGACATCAAGGGGTACCTTCAGCTCCAGTGGGAACACACCCACACTGGTCAAGTGAAATAAATTGCTTTAAAGGAAAAGGAACCTGCTCATTAATGTTCTGAGGTTGCTCTGAGGAGACAAATCTCACTGTGTCAACTTATGCTTCCTTTTCCTTTCCTCTGATTTAAAATTGTTTGCATCACTTTAGGATATAAATGTTCCCACAATGACATTATAAAGCTACCGACTCGTTAAACTCTACCAAACTTGTTGATTGTACAGTGACCAGAACTGTAACTTTGTGCCTGTTGGATCCATTAAATTTTGCTAAAAACATCCTTTCCCTGGATAAGTTATCCCTCCTTTCCCCAGCTTAATTTATGTACTATCAGGGAATGGCCTGTTTTGTCTTTAGAGCATTTATTCACACTAAATTTTTAAATTTGAATAAGTAACTGTCCAATGGGAGTGAGATAAATGCAGGTGATTCTATTTAGGCTGCAATTAGCAAAACTATACAAAAACAATTAATGAATTTAATGGGTGAGGTTCTTCTCTAGGAATTCTGTCTCCCTTTCTACATTAGGCTGAGCCTGTAAAGACCAGCTGGGCTGGGGAGGGGAATTTCCTTCTCAGCAAGATATTTTTTTTAAGGTTGTGATTTGGATAAGCTTTGCCAGACCCTCTTAACCTGCAGAGCTTCCTATGCAGGTTTGCAGCCAATATTTTGCAGGAGGGTGATTTCTCCTGGCTGGTTTCCTGAGCTCTCCCTGTTCTCTGTCTCCAGGTGTGGGTGGATGCTGGCACACAGATCTTTTTCTCCTACGCCATCTGCTTGGGGTGCCTGACAGCCCTGGGGAGTTACAACAACTACAACAACAACTGCTACAGGTAACACCTTCCACACTGCAATTCTGCTCTTGGGGTGAAATTTGGAATCACTTCCCTTTTTCCCTTTTCCCATGGATAACCAGAAGCACACACAGGTGTTTTAGTGGGACAGAGATCTGTAATGTTTCTTGGAGCTGCTTCAGAGGAAGTCTGCTCCAAAATGTGGTGTTTTCATCCCTTTTGGTCAAATCTGAGCCTTCCACAACCCCTCAGTACACACAGAACTGCATGGAAAAATACAGGATTTCAGACTGGTATAATTGAGTGTGTGTGCATTACTTAAGCTGCTTTTTAAAAAAGTACTACCAAAAATTGTTATTACACTTCACCCCAGTTTGGTGTGTGCTCTGACCGCCACCTCTCCCCATTTTTTGGGGAAGTTTGCAGGCCCCAACCCAGAGGGAATGGGCAGCATTTCATGGCTTATCTCCATATCCCCAAGGAGGGAATTGCCAATGACTTCAGGAGGTTTTAATCTCTCCTGAGTCAATGGGATAGGAGAGATATGATTTGCACAAAACCCCCTTTCCACATTACTGGCATATGAACCCTACTCTTTTCTTCTGGAATCCACAGTTATTGAATTCATTTCCCTGAAATTCCTACAAGGACAGTTTGGTTGTAGTGGCTCCATTAAGATCTCCGGACAGAGAATTAAAGTTTCATTTTCCTCTAAAGGGAATAATACAATCCAAAAGCAAAAGAATATCCAAAACAAACAGCCCCAAACCCCCAAAATTTATTTAAATTCTAAATTACAGTTTTACTTGGAGAGTTCAGGAGGCGGTTTGAGGAACTACTCCTTCTTTCCATGTTTTAGCAAGACAAAATGTTTTGCTGCAGAAGGTGGTGTGAGTCCCCTACAACCTTCAGAGCTGCTGGTAATGAACCTTTCCCCTAATTAGCACAAGCAAAGCTTCAGCAAAGCCTCCCCTCCTTTCCTCCCTTCAGTTTTATTTATATTTCTCCTCAGTTGTATCCCAACTAGAAGCTGTCAGTGCCACAAGGAGCCCAGGAATGTTTTTCCCGAGCTTTTGTAACCCACTACAAAAAGCAGGAGTTTGCATTTATGGATTTTTTTTTCCCTTCCCCCTGACCCCAGAGCTCAGCTGGTGAAACTCTGCTCTGAAGGTGCTGAGGAGGAGGCTGCAGCCAAACACCTTTTACTCCATCCAAACTCCACAATTCCCCTCACAAAACATTTCCCAAATTTCCCAGCTAGGAAAGAGAAGTCACTGTGTCCTGAGGTGTGATTTTTAACAAGTCTGAGGGAAGGGGCAGGACAGCAGTGGAGTGCAGAATGTGGCAAAGCTGGGCAGAGCTCTGATGTGAAAACCACAATTTTATATTCTAACCAGCACTTTTAAAAAAATAAAATCAAGCTGGGGGTTTTCCTCCCGCAATCCCCACAGTCTGATCATAACATCAACATCTTCTGCTCTGTTTTACTCCAATTTTTCTTCCCTAAGGGAAAATTGCAGTTGAAAATAATGGCAAGAGATATTTCAGTGGGAAATGGGAAAGTCTGAGCTGCACGTGGGCCTGGTGAATTTAAGATTTAAACCTGATTTAATTCATTAATGTGGTAAATGAATTGCAAAAGTGACCTCATGTCCTTGAATAGGAAATTTTTTATCATCCTTATGTATCTTTCACTGAAAAACAAAAGCAGCTCCTCCCTGGATGTGCTGAGTTTGTATCCCAAGTGACTCCTCTGAGAAGCTGGAAGCCCAGCAGCAGGCAGTGTTTCCCCACAGGGAGAACACACAGGTGTACTGATGTTTCCTGGGGTTTTTATCCAGCTCAGAATCCCAAATCCATTCCCAGGTACAAGTTCAGCGTCAGCTCCCCTGTTCCCACTGTGGAGCAGGAGATAAAGGAGTGATTTCACGCGTGGACAAAACTTTCAAGACCTGAAGATTTGTCCTTTGCCAAGTTTCTAGTCTAGGAGGAGAAGAGAAATGGGAATTTCTCAATTGGGTCTTGAGGAATCCATAAAGGCAGGGAAGGACATGGAGGGATGCCAGGGGCTCTGTGGGCTCAGAGAAGCTCCTCAAGGAAGGCAGCATGAATCTTCAGAAGTGTCCTGCCTGACAGGCAGGGAGAGAAGTGATGCACATCTTGAATTATTCAGGTGATTGGCAGGAGTTTAATTTGGAAGAATGTGAAGTTTTCATAAAAATTTGAAGTTTTCCTTTCACTTGAAATCAGTCTGGGCTTCAGTCAGGCTCTGATGTCCTCCTGCCAAGGGTGCACATAAAAAATTCACGTTGTCCTTTCGATGGTTCCTGAGCACTTGTGTTTTAAAACACATTGGTTTCAAAATCAATAGATCCAGATCCACTTTCCAGTTTCTCTTCCCATAGCAGAAAAAAACCCCTGAACTACAGGTTATTTCTGCCTGTGGGATAAAAACCAGGAGCTGGGGGTTTGGTAGAACTCCTGCAAGGCCAAGGGAAGGGAAATTGGAGGTTATATTTTCATGAGGGCCCTCAGAGAAGCTGTGTTCAGTCTCTGACTGCCTCCCTGGCTGTGAAACAATTCAGCTGGGGTGGTGTTATCTGAAAAGAACAGGAACCTCAGTGGCTGGAGGGGGTGAAAATCCCCCTTTTTCCCTTTCCTTGGAGAAATGTGTACTTATCCTGCAGATGGTCTGGTGCTGTGGTTTGCCAGACTTCCCTGAGAGAGGAGATCCTCTTGTTCTGTGGCATTCTCCAGCTGGGCTCTGTCCCTGCTTCAGGAGGGAGCAGCAAACCCTGCCAGGGGCTCCAGCCCTTATCTCCCCCTCAGGAACCAGCAGCTCTCAAATATCCTGAGCCACAGCATTCCGCAGAAGGAAACATCTTCTTCAGACTGCATTTGAAGCAGCGAATTATCTAAACCAAATGTTACCTGAAGAGACCAGCCTGTGCCCAGTGGAGGCATCATCTGGCTGCATCCCCCCCCTGCAGGATCTCTCTTTTTCCCCCAGAGGATTGGAAAATTCATCTTTGTGACCTCTCTTATCGACAGGGTTTCATCACACTCCATTTTAATTTCTCAGTATTGACTCACCACTTCCTGAGGTGAGAGAGGTGGGGTGAGAGTCCCCCCAGAGCTCTTTGGAGCTGAAATTCACTGGGAAGGTCAGGAAGGGGCTGATATTTCATTTTTTTGTATCTCTGCAAAGCACAAAGGCCTCTGTGCTCCTCAGTCCTTTATTTTGGATTGCCATTTTGCTTTACGATGTCCAAAGTGTAGAGCTGGCCTGGGCTGGGATAATTTAATATGAGAAGCAAACAAATAAAGTTGGAATTTATATTTTCAGCAAGTATTTCACTGCAAATGAACAGTGTTAGAGAGAGTCCAGGCATGGAAGAAGTGTGAACATCACTGCACTTGTCCATGTCTGAGTCTCCACTACAAATGGGAATAATAATTTTTCATAGCTGGGCACATCTTAGCAATTCATAGATGTTGTGCCACAGAGATTATTTTTACTCTGCAATTGTGATAACATAAAACCTTCCCAAATTAATATTTGAAATTAAGCTGAGGTGATAAGAGGGAGCCAAAGCGCCCCATGGCCCAGAGGCTGAGCTGAGCCCGGGTTTTGCAGCTGAGGAATGTCAGGGTGCTCCCTGCCAGGGGAATGTGCTCAGGTGAGTCCCGGGGGTGGCAGAAGAGCTTTGGACACCTGGGGGAAACACTGCAGGGCTCATCAGTGAAGGAACAGGATGCTGGAACTGCTCACCTCACTTTGAGCTCCAAAAACTGATGAGATGACATCACAGGATAAAAGTATTAAACAGCAAAGCAGGGAGATTAGCAGAGAAATTTTGAGGGAATAATTGCCAAGACTTTGAAGTAGGAATTGTCTCTGATTCTCAACAGCAAATCTGTGACAAAGATGTGATCCTTTACTGAATTATTGAAGCTGTGAATTCAGAACCTGCTGGATTTTACAGGGTCCTTTCTTCTTATTGGTAGCTTGCACGAAAATTTGCTTCAGAGCCACAGTGAGATGGGGATAAAGCAGATTAAGGGATGGGCTCGAGGCAGCTCCAGGCTTGCCTTGTGTTTCAGTGGGTTAGAACCCTAATTTACCTCAAACATCTGGGTTAGATTATTGCTTTCTCAGGTACACAGCTGTCTCTGTGGCAAACACTCTTCAAGGAATGACTGTCAGCATAAACCATCAGTGCCTCATCATCTGTCACGCCTGGAGAGCTGTCAGAGCAGCAGGAACAGCAATATTTCCCTGGGCTCTGGGGGAAATCACACCTTGCTGCAAGAGGACCTTCCCTTTCTTTAAACTGCTTTTCTCTTGTGACGTTTCCAGTCTGGGAAAAGAAATCTTTCTTCACCTTGGCCTTGTCCTTGCTGTGGTTTAGGTGTGGGATGTGTCTGCCTGAGAGATCTCTGTCCCTGCACTGCCTTGGCCTCTTTTGAGACACTTTTTTAGCCATGCACACACTTCCAGATTATGTCAGTGATTTTCATTCCCACAGCCTCTCAAACATGGCTAGAAACCAAACTGCAGCTGTATTTTGCATGGATATATTTTGCCGGTGTTCTCTAACAGGGATAGAAGGAGCTAAGATGCGACAACAGGATTTATTTTCTTTTCTTCCCTCAGGAAAAAAAATGTTACCATTTTTATAGAGTTTATTAACAAGTTCATATCCTCTGGAATCTATTAGCACATATATAATTATACACATATATATGTATATAATATTATATATTATATACATATATGTGTGTGTATATTATTTTTAAGGATTATTACATGCTTTACATAGTTTTACATGTTTTTTAAAGATTTTATTGGAAAACAACAAGTGACTTGCACCAGCTTTGCAACTCCAGGAGTTAAAAGACAAGCAAGGATATTCTGCTGGTGTCCTCCTGCACGTGCTAATTCCTGGTGGCTCTCAGGAATAATTAATAATGAGTTGGGACCTTACTGCTAATGAAAAACTTGCTCTCCATTCCTGCAGCCCAGGGTTCTGTCAATCCTCTGGCTCAGCGGATGAAAGAAAGCCCAGCTCTGGAGATCAACTGCAGTGTTTTTTATTTATATTTTCAGAGACTGCATCATGCTCTGCTGCTTGAACAGTGGCACAAGCTTTGTTGCTGGTTTTGCTATCTTTTCAGTTCTTGGATTTATGGCTTATGAACAAGGCGTGCCCATTGCAGAAGTTGCAGAATCGGGTAAGTTCCAAAAGCAGATTTCTGAGTTAACAAAAAATGCCCAGATGATGTGGGCAGAGTTCACAGTGTGTGCCATGGCCTGTGGATGGGATGACTCAATGGAATAACTTCTGCAGGAAGAGTTCTGAACTATTTTTATGGCCATACATTTGTGTGTGAAAATTATCAATGCTGCTGTGCATAGAAGCAAGTATATGAATTCAAAGAGCCCCTGCAACACAAATTTACTCCAGCTGAGCCTCCAGAATGTTGTTTAGCAGATAAACTGAGTTGTGAGTGCTAATCCTCACCTGCATCCCACCTTCTTTCAATGAGACAGACTGAAATCCACAAATATTTGTTCCTTCTGGAAAAAACAAAAATAAATGAAACAGGATATTAAAGAAAAAAAGCTGCAGCTGTTAAAATGAGAAACCAGACAGGTACACAGGCTCAGATTTATGAAAAATGAACCATCCACAAACACCATTGGAGCTGGGCATCCAATGGAAGTTACTCCACACCTTTGTGGCTGTAACATCCTCAAGCAGAAGAAAAAGAACAGGAGGATGCCCAGAAAAAAAGCCCAATGAAATGGTGAGCTGTTGAGGAGGAGAAATGACTGCTGTGGAGTTAATCCCAGGAAAACTGCAACACAAGCAGGGTTTCACTGATGCTCTCATGGAAAATATTTATCTTTTCCTAAATCCCTCAATACAACTGGCTTGCACTTCATTATAGGAGCTTGTAAATGCTGTTTTAAATGAAAAAAGAAGCAGCAGTGTGTGACACTGAAATTATTGCAGCAGGAGCACAGGGTTCTTCTTTATTGCCTGGGAGAGGGCCTTTGTGCCCCTGCTTTGAAAGCTGGCTGGCTTCATAAAAAGCAGCTGATAAATAAAACCAGAAAGACATGAGCAAGGTGAGAAGATTTCTTAGCCGATCTGAGAAGTTATCAGTGCTGTTACAAAAATGTTCTATTTTGAAGATTTCTCTAAATATGTAGCCAATGTCACACAGCAGCACCCAAAACCACAGAGCAGGATGGGAACCAGCATTTGCCTTGCACCAGGTCAGGGAAAAAATAAAGATTCCAGGATATGTTCCTAAATTATATAAGGCAATCACAGGAGCAGCCGCTATGATTTATTCAGGGATGTTTGCAGTGCTGCACATCCACACAAAAAAAGGGGAACATAAAGCACTGGGAGGTCTGAACAGAAGTTGAGCATCCTTTGGCCAGGATGCAGACAGGGCTGTGCCATTTCTGATAAGCCTCAGAATAAGGTACTGATAACTGTTAGACTATGAGAGAGGTAGAGTTTGTCAAGGTGGTCAGTCTCGGGTTTAGTTCCTCTTCTGTGCCATGACAGAAGAGTCAGGTTGTGGTGGGCTGACCCTGACCAGCAGCTGAGCATCCACACTCTGCTCACTCACTCAGTTTCCACGGTGGGCTGGGGAAGGGAGCAGGAGAGGAAAAGTGAGAAAATGGGTGTGTCCAGATAAAACATCTGGTAAGTGATGCTGAGTGAGCCCTGCTCAGCCAGAGGCACATTTTGGTGTCAGCAATGCTGTTCTCCCACAGCTCAGGCTGCTCTGGAGGAGCTGAGCTCCATCTCAAACTCCCACACAAGTATAAACTTTGCATTTCTTTATTCCTTTCCAGGACCAGGACTTGCATTCATTGCTTACCCTAAAGCTGTCACCATGATGCCTCTGTCTCCTCTGTGGGCAGCTCTGTTCTTCATGATGCTCATCTTCCTGGGCTTGGACAGTCAGGTAGGGAACAAACCCCATTCCAATGATTTTTTTTAGCCTCCCCAACAGGTGGAAATCACACCTAACAGCCTGGTGAAAGATTGAACCCTAACTTAATTCTTTGCTATTTTAAATCTTAGTTGGGATGCTGGATATCCCTTTTTGATTCACTGCAAGGGCTGGTTCAGCCTGACTCCAGCTTTCATTATTAACACAGAAATCAGTCTGAACTTCAGCAGGGCTGATTAAAATCCACACTTCAGTAAAATACCAGCCTGTTTTTAAAGCACTTTGCACTGAATCTTGAAGCTGAATATCAGATAGTGACAATGTAATTTCCTATGGTGTATTTTTACTGCAAGATACCGTAGCAAGGAATGTGCAGCCATAGCCTGCAGCAAAGGGGCAGCACAAAAGTCGCTGTCCCCGTGTGACTGGAAAAATTGCAAAAGCTGCTTGAAGAGGAATGTGACGTGCCTGGGTGTTTTAGCATGCAGCTCAGCCCTTGGCATGACTGGGTTCAGAAAATTTATGATTCTAAAGCTCAGCAGTGCTTGTTCTGCATGACATTTCCAATCATTAAACTTAATGTTTTAATAACCACTCTTTTTAATGATCTAACAGGTTCTTAAGTCTTTATTTTTTATTTTTTTTTTAAAGTGAGCAGTTCCTGGATTTTGCTCTTGACTATTCCAATGTCTATTTTGGGCCCTGTTTTAGAAACTTTGCTGCAGAGCCCTGAGTCAGAAGCTCAGGCTTTTCGATTTTTTTTGATATTTAAAGATGCCGAACATGTTCCTGCTCTCCTTTGCTAGAATTCCTGGCTTGGGCACTCAACAGCTCTGGGAACTTCTCTCTTCATGGAGAGAACTTTCCCCAAAGCCTGCTGCTCCTGTAGCAGGTTGGAGGATGCATGGCAAAATTGGAAAAAGTGCCTGGAGTGACATGATCCATTGAAGGCTTTGTACGTTATTTAATTCCCACTCCAGCCACATTTGAAAGGTTTCCTTTTCATTTAATCCACCTCATACATTCATACAGGGCAAATGCAATCTGGGATGATATCAGAGAATCCAACTGTTTGGGTTTGGTGGAAATCCATAACTTTGGACTTTTCCACTGGGAGATGTTCCTTTCAGTTTGAGTTTCTGCTTACAGGGCGTCCCCAGGGATCACCGACCCTCTGTGATGAAGACACAGGAGGAAATGTACAGTGTTAGGTGGCAAATCCCAATCCCAGCAGCAGATTTCACTGGATCTTTGCTGTCCTCTGTTGCAGTTTGTGTGTGTGGAGAGCATCGTGACAGCTGTGGTGGACATGTACCCCAAGGTGTTCCGCAGGGGCTACAGGAGGGAGCTGCTCATCCTCGGCCTCTCCGTCGTGTCCTACTTCCTCGGCCTCATCATGTTAACTGAGGTGAGAGCTGCCTGGCCCAGAGGAAAAGAGTTTGTGCTTGAAATCACAACAGATAAAGCACAAGAATCTTTGCCACAGACAAATTTCACTGTCAGGAACGTGACAACAAAATACTTGAGAGACTGTTGTCAGCTCCTGTGTAACGTCTGAAATGGGAAAAGCGGCCTCGTTTTATCGGCTGAGCTCAGGAAATGTCTTAATCAAAAATACACAGCACAGCCAAGGAAATTCCATCTGCTTTGCACCAGCCAACCACACACGCTGATCGTGGTTTCTGCTTGCTTACCCTGGGCAGGAACAATCACATTTTGGATGGGAAAAACAATAAGGATGAAGTGAAAAGAGAAAATTAAACCATCTTTGGTTTTGAGCAAAAGTTTTTGTGTCCCCTCCAATTTGGAATAACCTAGAACGTGGACCATTAATATTTAATTACACTAATCAAATCTCCCTCTCTGATAGGAGATTCAATGCTCTGTGTGAAAAAATGCATTAAACAGATTTTTTTTATATTTATATACTTTATATTTACCTGTAATCATTGTTATTCTCAGTGAAATAAATCATCTTGGCTATGTAAAATGGGAAATCTTGGAATAACCCCTCCACAGAGCTTGTGTTGAGCAGAGTACTGAGAAGACTATCTCTTATTATCAAGATATACAGGCTAAAAGAAATATAAATCTGAAGAGTGAAGGGAAAACAAGTTCTTCAAACTGCAGGAATATCCTTGCAGGAGTTTTGTTGTCCTTACCTTTTACTGTCTTTGTTGATCTCTAAATCTTCATTTTGCTCAGGTATTTGCCGAGCCTCACCATGATGACTTTGCAGTAGAAATTTAGGTTTCTTCCTATTTTTAGGATTCTCTTCCATCTGCAGAAAGTTGTCTGAGATGTGATGGATCTCCTGAGCTCCCCAAAAAACATTAAATTCCAACCGAGGGCTCATCTCAAGCCCCTCTTTCCTTCTTTAGAATCCCTTTTCATTAAAATGCTCACTTGTGAACTCCTCCTCCTCCTTATTTCAATATTAAACACAGATGTGATAAATGATTGTCTCACATAAGAAGTGTAATATTATCCATATCATTTTAATTATTTTACCCATAATGTTATTAATTGGATGATTCTTATTTCTTTTGCTTTGTGAGAAATAAGAAAGACTTGTTTCAGTCATGTGGCTTAAAGTCTGTGAGTTGAATTCACACTTTTTAGGTCACTTTATTCATTTTGTAGTCCCTACACCATCACAGAGGGATTTCAGCAGCTACAGATTTTACCTCCTTTCCCCACAGTTGAATTAATTATTTTACATATTAATAACACAGACACAGAGCCAGGATCTGGAGGTCAGAAACACCCGGGAATATCTGCAGCTCGATGTGATAACAAACCGAGGGAAAAGCAGGGAGGTGGGACAGCATTTTTGCAAATAAAACCAAATTTACTTCACTCCAGATTTACCACCCTAAAGGAAGTGCAGAGTTAAAAAAAAAAACCCAAGAAATGAATATTCTTTGTTCAAGAAGGAACCAACTTGAGTAGGAAGATTGCCAGGGAGCCAACAGCTTGACGATGTAATTAAAACAGATTTGCTATGAAATATTGCCGCCGGTGCCAACCCAATATTTTTTTTCCTTTCCCTATTTTCTCCTCCAGGGTGGGATGTATGTCTTTCAGCTCTTTGACTCCTATGCAGCCAGTGGGATGTGCCTGCTCTTTGTTGCCATATTTGAGTGTGTCTGCATAGGCTGGGTGTACGGTGAGTGATAAAAATTGCTCTGTTTTTCTTATCCAAGTTCCCTGTTTGCATAAAGGCAAAGTGAGAACCTTGTGCCCTTATGGAATGGGACCCTCCATGTTCCCATGCCCCAAAAAATAGTCATGAATGCCTTTTTCTCTACAAAGATAATTTCACTTTGTAAAACAACACAGAAGTGCAGATCACATGTGAGCAGCTATCCTTGGCTTCACACATGAGCTCATAGCATCTAAATATATTTATATATAAAATAGATACTCTTGGACTGGGGTTGTTTACAACCTGATTCTACAAGAAAGAGAATAAATCAACTAAGCAGAATATATTAGGTTTATTCATGCTATGAAGGAAAGCAAAACTTAAGGTGTGGAGGAAAAAGGAGAGTAGGACTAAAGGAAAAGTTAATATTTTTGTGACAGCTTGTACCACACTAATGAAATCTCCATCTCTGATAAGAGATGCAATGATCTGTATGAAATAAATATTTTATAGCACCAGAAGTTTTCTAGCAGCAGGAATTTTATATCAACCCCTGCCATGAGCACAGGGCAGATGGCAGGGAGGAGTTTCCCAGGGAAAGAGGCAGCAGCTTCAGCCTTCCCAGCTCTGTCTGTGCTTTCTCTTCCCTGCTTTAAATCCTGACCTGGACAACCCCTTCCATGTGCACTCTTCATCTGTTTTTCCTTTGCTTTTTGGGCAGGCAGCAATCGCTTTTATGAGAACATTGAAGACATGATTGGGTACAAACCTGTGTCGTTGATTAAATGGTGCTGGATGGTCCTAACTCCAGGTATTTGTGCAGTAAGTACAGAATGTCCAAATAACTTGTTTTAAAGAGGGGTTTCTATACATGTTTTTTAATAATTTTCTGTGGCTAATAGTTGAGAAAAAAGCCTATTGATTTGTAGCATGTATTTAAAATAAAAAAACATTCTGTAGGATCTGTAAAAGTTGTTAAACAGTCTATGAAAAATATTAGTATGTACAGTCATAGGAACAAAAATAATGCCAGGGCCCTAGAAGAACATTTGCCAGAATGAGAGATGTTTTTCCCTGTGGTTAGTGCACCTTGTGTGCCAACACACGGCTCGAGCTTCTCCAGACTTGTGCTGGGTCCTCTGCTGCTTTCTCCTCCTTTCTCCTCTCTCTTTGGGGTATGGACATTTCCCAAAGGAGACAAGATGTATTTTACTTTTAAAAGTAGTAGGAGAGGCCAAGAGTTCATCCCATGGGCATGAGGGAGGGGAAGGAAGCTGTGCCAGCTCTGCAGATCTGTGGCAGTGTCACAGGGACAAAGTTCCAAAAGCAACATGATCTGATTGCCCTTAAAACTGAGGATTGGATGCCAACACCCCTTCCAGCTGTGTAATACTCCAATGATGGCAGCTGCAAACCACAGGAGCTGGGCAACATCGAGATCCAGCTTCTCATTTGCAAACTTAGCAAAATTTCTGACTCATTTGCACCAATTCTGAAATGACCTCTCCACCATTTGCTCTTGTGCACTCGTTTCACCACGTTGGACAAAATGACACGGTACCTTTTCTCTATTTCATGCATCCAAATGGTCCAAGCTGCCTGATTAGAAATTTAAACAGATTTTTTTTTTAGTTTAGTTTAGTTTTTGGCAGGATGAAAGCATTGGCCTGCAAAACTGCAGGTACACACAGTGGATTAAAGTAACTTCAAAAATTTTGGCTTTCCTTTTTCATCCTGACAGGTTGGAGAAAACCCAGCTCAAGTTACTTAATCACAGCTGGTTCACTGTAGCTGTAGCAAGACTTAATCTTTCCTGCCCAGGTGCTGCTTGCCATCAAAGTGCAGGGTTTATTGTCACCAAGTGGTAAATAGGATTAAACTTGAAAGGTTGCTCATTTCTGCAGGAGCCTCTGAGATGTGTTATTTAAGCTGTACAGGAGAGAGGAGGTTGCTGGTGGGTTTTTTCCTCTGGATGAAGAGCTTCCCTCTGCTTTTCCTCCTCAGAGAGCCTGGCCTGGCCTAAACCCTCAGCCAAATCCTTGTTACACGTGCAGGGTTTGCCCACAAATACCTCTGACAATATCTCTGCTTGCTTCAGGGAATCTTCATCTTTTTCCTGGTGAAATACAAACCCCTGAAATACAACAACGTGTACATCTACCCTGACTGGGGCTACGGCATCGGGTGGATGATGGCGCTCTCCTCCATGGTCTGCATCCCGCTGTGGATCTGCATCAAGCTCTGGAAGACAGAAGGCACCTTCATGGAGGTGAGAGATATCCAGTGATGCTGGAAAAAGAGCTGGGAAAGGGCTGGGAGTCCTCACCTGCATCCCCCAGTTAGGGCTCTCAGTCGCTGATGGAAAGAGATTTCTGAATTTTCTCTGGTTTATTCTGAATTCCTCTTGGGTTTTGTGCTGCCAGTGGTAAACTAAACAAAACTATTGATTTAAGGTGCTCTGTTTCCAGCACAATTTGTAGTTTAAAATGTCTGTAACATCACCCAAATCCCTCAAAGTTTGTATCAGCCATTTCCTCAGGTCAGCTGCCTTTTTCCATGGTTTTTGTTTGTGCTGCCAGGATTTTCTCCAGGAGCTGGGTTGCCCACATTCTCATTTTCTGTACAGTTTTGATAATTTCAGTTCTCTAAATGAGAAACTCAGCCAAATAAAGAGATTCAGGGCAATTTTCTGACATTTCGTGTCAGATTAGGTCTAGACTGAGGTTATTATCAAATTTAAGCTTGGAAAGTTTCTCGTTGCTGTGGGAGCCCCAAAGAAAGGCAGTGAAGGAATCAATAGCAGAAGAAACAAAAATACAAACCTTATTCAGCCATTTGGGATTTCAGCATTGCAGAAAAGCCTCGATTTGTCCACATTGCACAGACTCCATTCAGCTGATTAAACACAGCCTGGAGGCTGCCTAGGAAATCTTTACTGTGTATATCAACTAAAAGTGAATCACCCATGATTTAGTTGTCTCAGAGAGTCAAAAAAGGAAATCTGCACAAATCTAAACATTCAGTATTTCCTCAGTGCACCAGCCCCACCTGTCCCTGCCGGTGAGCAGACTTTGCTGGAGCTGCAGCACTGCAGACAGGTCCTTATCTTTTCCCTGCCAGGATGACAAGAGGATTGTTTTAATCACAGCTGGGAGCTTCTTGGGGAGCCAACTTCCTGCTGTGAGCAGCAACCTTGCTGTGGATGTCATTGCTCAAAGAAAAGAGAAAGGATATTTTTCTTTATCACACCTTAATACACCTTGGCTGTCACTGGTTTATTTGCTTTTTCCAGTGAACATCATTGATGATAAAATGAGAAACAAAATGTACCTGTAGAACAGACACAGTGCTGAGTGTCTTCATGAAAGGGGCTGATTAAATCAGCAGAAAAATTCACTTTGGTTTGAGCTCTGCCTTCTTTGGTCCAGTGGGATTTACCCAGAATTGTGCAGCCTGCAGGTCTGAGGATGTGCCCACAAAAGGGGAATAAATGAGAAGCAGATGTGCAGGAGAAAAGCCTTTTATAATCGATCTGTTAAAGAGAGGTGTGTCTGTGACCAAGAAAAACGTAATGATTTCCAATTTCTCCAATTTTCTAGAAATTCAGGAAGTTGATTACACCTAGCTCAGACCTGAAAATGCGGGGCAAGCTCGGAGGAGGAGCCTACATTGCAGCAATAAATGACTGCGATGCCAAACTGAAAGGAGATGGCACCATTTCCACCATCACAGAAAAGGAAACACATTTCTGAAAGAACTTTTTTTTGTTGTTTTATTTTTTTTTTTTTGTATAAAGAAATAAATAAATTCACTTAATTATAGAGGCTGGCTTGTTTTGCACAGAATTTTATTAACCAGTTAATTTTAAAGTGAAAATTGTATACTTGTTTAAAAAGTGATTTTTTTAAATTACTCTATCCGTAATGATTCTGTAAAAGAAAAAGAAATAGTATTATATTGTCTGTTAGTGATGACTTCTTGTAATATGGTGATTCCAGTCAATGTTTGGTTTTTTTTTTAGACTTTAGAGGGACCTGTATAATGTGCTGTAAAACTTTTCTACTTTGATTTGTGGCAGGTGTAATGTTGTATAGACCTTCTAACCTGTAAGCATTTCAGACCATTTCAGCTGTCCATGTGTGTATATAAAAGGCACCAGCCTGTCCTGTGGTTTGCTTGGGAAGAATTCTCCTTTCAGGGTGAGTTTGGTGATGCTGACGGCGCCTCAGCTGCTCCCACCTCCTTCTCTCCACCCTCCACTGGCTTCATCAGGGTTGGAAATGTGGAATGAGCCCATCCCGAGCCACTGTTTTCCTGGAGATGGGACAGAGGCTGGTTCTGAAGGGCTCTGAATTTTGCTGCTGTAAGTTCCTGGTCTCTGCCAGGATGTGCTCCTCAGGAGACCTCCCAAACCTGTGCATCTTCCTCCCTGGGCGGCTGCTCCTGAATTTTGGCTGGCACTTCCCACCCCCAGGAGTGACCTGTGTTTGTCTGTGCTCCTCCAACAGGAGACCAAGGTTATTTCACAGAGCTGGAGATGTTCTGAGGGGAAAAGTTTAGGGCTCTCTGTGTCTGTACAACATTCCCCTCCAAAGGAATCCAGGATCCTACAATGCCGATGTGTAGCATTACACAGCTCCTCTGCTGGCACAGGGTGGGGTTTTGGGCTGTCCTGTGCAGGGCCAGGAGTTGGACTGGATGATCCTTCCAACTCAGGGTGTTCTGATTCCTCTTCAAGGTCCTTTCCAGGTCCCCTCAGATCAGGCACTGATTCCTGTGCCCTGGATGGGATCGAGGCTTGGACTGAAGTCAGAGGAGGAATTTCTTTAGCAGAAGGTTGGGGTAATGTCCTTTCTCTCTGCAGGAGTCCCAGGAGGTCATTTCTGTGTGGTGCAGGGCAAGGGATTCACGCAGGGCTGCTGTGACCCTCAGTGTCACAGAGGCAGCAGCGCTGGTTCTGTCCCGTCAGGCCTTGGTCTGGACTGACTGCCAGGCTTTAAAGCTGATTTTGTACGTGGATCCAGCTGCTGGATGGTTGTTCCAGGAGGTGTGCAGATGCCCCAGTAGCAAAACCCCTAAACTGTGTCCTTAGGATGTGTTTTTTTTACCTGATAATATTCCAAACACTATTATTTGTTCTGGACAATTTTTTTTCTTGGCTTGTTTTTGTTATTTGATGGTTGTGTGAGGAACCTGTGGAGGAACATCATCCTGCACTGCACAGGATTTTTGGGGAGAGACAAGAGACAGCCCAGAAGAAATGTCATAACACCTGCTGCCTTCTCTGCAACTCCAACCCACCGGAGCTCAGACACAGCACCTGGAGTTGTTAGCAACAGAAACGGCTCCTGACCTTCTCCCAAGGAAATATTTCCCTGGAAATCACTAATTATACTTTAATATTGGCTAGAACTGTACCTGCGGTCAGCACTTCTCTAAGCTCTTGCTGTTACTTCTTAAAAAAAGCATTTTTATGGAACTGCTTTGTCTCGAGTCACTTCATTAAATCTAATAGAGCCATTTCATTTTTACTTTACCTTATTTGTAGGGGTTTATTTTGTGTGTGGCAAGGTGGAAGCCTAGCAGAGGACTTCAAATCCCGTAAATCCTGTTTCCACATCTCCCTTGGGAGATGCTTGGGGCAGGACATTTAAAAGAAACCTGGATTTAGGAAGGCACAGAACCATCATTTTGTGCCTGCTGGCCTCCCACGGAATCAAAACTCAGTCCCATAAGAAAACCATAGTGGGAGAGAAATGTTCCCAGAATTGAAACCACAGATTGATTTATATACAATGCAGAAATGGAATTGACATTGACACCCCAAAATCTAGGAATTCACATTTTTGGAAGTCCCAACAAGTCAGGAATGTTTGGGACCCAATGTCCCTTCCTGGGCTTTCTCTCCACCCACCCAGGCCCCAGAACCAAGGCCCCAGAGCCACACGTGGGCCTTGGGGTGGGCTCTGGTCCCTCCCAGGGAGAATGCCAAGATATTTTTGGGTCAGTGGAGGGAGATGCACCTTCAGGTTGTGCTTGGCCTGGATCTCAGGACTCCTGAGAACCTTCAAGTTGTGCTTGGCCTGGATCTCAGTGTCATCCCCTCGGCAATGAGGATCCTGAGGAAATGCCATGAGGCGCAGCCCCTGCTCCTGGGGCCATCCACGGGCACAAAGTGACCCCAGAGGGGCCAGGGCAGCCCTCGCTGCTGCCTCGGGGTTTGTGGTGCCCCAGATGGGACAGAAAACGTCCCCTGGAGGGAATAAAGTGGGCATTTCTTGAAGGCCTTCCCCAGGCACACCTCGGGCAGCCAAAGCCTCCCAGAGGCTGCAGCCAGCACGGACAATGGGCACCAGTTTCTCACACAATTACCAGTTTGCTCCAGTTCCATATCGGGCTTCATCCTCCAATTCCAGCTGCAGGCAATGAAGTCATTCAGCCCCAGTTTGCTCCCCACAACTCACTTTTGCTTAGACTTTTTGGGGCCTGGGGCACTGAGGTGTCCCTGAGATCCAGGCCTAGAGAGGAATTGTATCACTGGGATTGGGATAAACTTTTTTGTAGGAGAAAAATGTGTGCCCTGGGGCTTGGCTGAGTCCTTTGGAGCTCTGTCCACATCCAAGCCCCTGCAGGAGAGCTGTGCTGTGTCCAGGAGCTGCTGGGAACATTTCACCTGGGCTTACCATGGGCTAAAGCATCCCCCGTGTTACTGATGTGCTGTGCTCTGTGTGCTCCTGATAGCTGACTTGTTTAACACTTTACTGATTTAAAAAAAAACACAGGTTTTTTGTTGTTTTTTCTTTTCTTTTGGTGGGGAGGGAAGTGGGAGGGTAAATTTCCTAATTGTTCTTCTTTGGTTTTTTTTTTAAACTATATAAGGGAGAAATGTAAAAAAACCCCAGCTCTATGGTGATGATTTTTTTATGCAGTAGGAACAAACTGCCCTTTTCTGAAGTATTTGCAGAATTATTAAAAATAATACAATAAAAACAAACAACCACTAAGGTTTATGTAACATTTTATGCAAAGAAAGGTTCCCTTTGGTTTTGAAGGGCAGAAGATTTCGTCTACTTACTTTGTTCTCAAAAATTAAAGGAAATGGGAAAACCCCATTCTGTGTATTTTAGTTTATATGGATGTACTTTACATGACCCTCCCCCAATGAATTAAATAATCACAGCTACCCTGGTAGAACAGACAAGTGTCCCTTGATGTGAAGTGGGGAACTGAAAAACAAGAGGAGGTTTAGAAACTTGTTTGAGGTCATGCAGCAAATCTGTGGCTGAGAGAAACTGAAGTTCCCTGGGGTCACAACTTCATGTCACTGTTATTAAATATAAAAATCTAAATATCTATATAAGGTATAGATATAAATAAATATAGATATAAATAGAAAACATAAGTAAATGTAAATATACAATATAAGTAAAGATTATAAATATAAATTATATAAATCCCATAAATATAAATAAAATGCAGACTAGCCACCATTTTCCTGCTGCTGCCCCTTCCCTCACACCCATGGCTGGTTTTGCTGGTTTTGTGTCAGGGCCATGCAGGGAGTTGCTTTGGGAACTGCTGGGGATGAAAACCCTGCCCAACCCAAGCTCCCAGTGCCTCCAGCTCCCTGCCCAGACAGAAGCTGCTGCTGGAGGGGGATGCCACAGGGAGGGGAATTGCATCCTCAATTCAATTCCAGCTGCTGAATTGAAATGACCTCCCAGCCATGGTTTCACTTCCAGCCCCCTCTGATGATCTTTTTTGCTCTGATTTTTGTGCTTTTATGCTCTTCTGGGTGCCTGGAGCATTCAGCTCTGGGGCCTCCAGCATAACAAGGATGTGGAGCTGTTGGAATAAGTCAAAAGGAGGCCATGAAAGAAATGAAAGGGCCCAACCCCTCTGCTTTGGAGCCAGGCTGGGGGGAGCTCAGCTGGGGAAGGGAAGGCTCCAGGGAGAGCTCAGAGCCCCTTCCAGGGCCTAAAGGGGCTCCAGGAGAGCTGGAGAGGGACTGGGGACAAGGCCTGGAGGGACAGGACACAGGGAATGGCTCCCAGTGCCAGAGGGCAGGGCTGGATGGGATATTGGGCAGGAATTGTTCCCTGTGAGGGTGGGCAGGCCCTGGCACAGGTGCCCAGAGCAGCTGGGGCTGCCCCTGGATCCCTGGCAGTGCCCAAGGCCAGGCTGGACAGGGCTGGGAGCACCTGGGACAGTGGGAGGTGTCCCTGCCATGGCAGGGGTGGCACTGGATGGGCTTTGAGGTCCCGCCCAACCCAAATTTTTCTATGATCCTTTGTAATACCTCTGGCCCATGTAGAGGGAGAAATTCTTGCTTTAATGCACAACACACTCATGAAAAAATCTGCTCTTGCCCCCTGAGGCACCCTCTTATACAGCAGCCTGCAACACAGGAAATGAAATTCTTTTCTTAAAGGCTTTTTCTCATCTTGACTACCCAAAGCCTGGCTCTAATAAGGAAAATGTGCTATGGATTTTGACAAAACCTTTCCACTCCTCTCTGACTGTGCCACTCCTGGGCACTTCTCTGTGCCAGAAGCCACAGCCAGGCCCCTGTTTCTCCCATGATGTTGCTGTCAGCTGATGGAGAGGTTCCTTCCAGACTGTGATGAGTCCTTGTGGCATTCCAATTAAAAAAGGATAGTCAAGAATGGTTAATGACAAAATGCTGGAGTGTGCTGGTTAATCCAGCCCCTCAATCCCCTCTCCATCCCACTCTGGAAGAGGCACAGCAGCT